CTCATGCCCTCCCTCCTTCTGCCAAATGTCCTGCCCCCCACCCCGCTTCCCTCTACCCCCAAACTGGACTATATTAGTGTTCATTGTTCTTATGAGCATATAACTGTTTATATACTGATTTCATATTAGGATGGAACACATTGGAGATGTTTTTTATGGTTAAAATATTAAATGTGGAACGCAGACTGGAAAAAAACCTGTTCTGGTTGGGGTTGGAGGATGAGGGGATGGGGCAGTGGAAGAGTGTGTGCGTGTGGGGGTGTGTGAATTTCATGATATGCAATGGTGAAATTGCCCTTTAAGGCAAGAGAAGCAATTATCACTGTTTGCCACACCAGAGTGGGTCCCTGGATTGGAATGTTGCTGTCGTCCCAGGGGCCAGGGCTCTTATCCCTCTACTTTACCTCCCTGAGGCCCCAGCCACACTTCCAGGTGACTCAGGGAGCTGCCCTTGCTGCTGGCTCTGTGACTCGCTCTGCCCCTGGGAAAGGTCAAGGCAATCCTGCATTTTGAAAGCAGTAGAACCGCTGTAGTTGACCATCTTCCTACAGTGACCACCTGCTTAAGTCGACCTGGTTTTGACAGAACCTGAGATGCATCAAATGTGCATCAGTATGGCTGGCCAACACGCATCCCCCACCTCTGTATGTCGACCACTTTGTCACAGTCCAACTTACAGAAGTTCCACCGTAGTAGTCTCTGTGTTAGTTCAAAATCTGTCATATCTAATTTGCCGGAGGTAAAAAGATGCCTTTCCCCTTTACCCACCCCTCCAAACTAGGGCGGAGGCCCTGCCCCCCAAACACAAGAATCTTGGGGGTTCCATATGAGCAGGACCTCGCCTCAAGTAGCTGTTGATCTTGGCCGATTAATAATAATAACAGCAACGATCAATCATAGCAAACACTATTTATTGAGTGCTAGCTGTGTCCAGGCACTGAGCAGGGTTCTTCAAGTACAATAATGAAGCTGCATGATAGAGCTATCTAATAAAATTCTCTCATACCCAAGTGATTTGTAGCATGCTCTTCAATCTTTGCAGGTCTGAAGGAGTGTGGGCATGTTCCTCTCAGCTTTACTCCGCCCATGGGTGGCCCATTCAGCCTGAGTATCTGCGGTTCATGGGGAAGTTCCATCATGACCTGCACGATTTGCTTCTCCTCACTCGTACAGTCTCTAAAGCAAAGGTTATTTGTAAACATTGTGCAAACATCTGAATATCGTCCACCCTGCTGTCATCAGCAACATTTAGTCACTTCTGAGCACTAAGAGAGAAGACAAAATGAATTCAGGATAAAACGATTTCAAGTCTAGACTCAGTAAAATGACTTTTTAATAATTTGTCAAATCCCAGAAAAATTAAGCAACATGGTGCCTACGTTTTTATTCTCAAGGGGAAAAAAAGGGAGACTTACAGGAGGTTCTTTGCAACTGATTTATGCAGGATGAGCAGTGGCAGAAGCCTCCTGGTAGGTTGCCCAAGCAAACCCCATCTTGACTCTATTACAGGGGACATAACTCAGAGAAGAGAGACATGGGGCGGACTCCTGTCCTTGCACCGGCCCAATTGCAGAAATATGCCGAGAGAAATAGGCCGACACTGCAAACCTCTGACACTCTGATATGAAGAGCCTGCCTGGTGAGTCCTGATGATGAGATAACTTCTTTGATGCCCTGATAAGAAGAATAGTTTGGTGGTCCTGGATAGAAACCAGCTCCCCTCTTAGCCAGCTTTAAATGACCAGCCTCCCTCCCTAAACCCTCCTAACATCCTTCACATCTTAGCCCACTCACACCCAAGTATGAAAATAAACATTGTCACACTTTGGTCTTGAGGGTTCTGATGGTCTTCTTTCAGTTTTTGAGCTTCTGTTACACTTTGGTCTTAAGTGTAATCTTTTTACCTAGCACCCTCCTTCCTGAGAAGTAATTGAACACCCCCCACCCCCCAAAGGCTTCCTCCATTTACTTACTAACAGTCTGACCTCAGGCCAGTTACTTACCTCTGCATCCATCCCATCCTCTGAAGAATGAAGAGAATTAAATAAATAATCAATACAGGCAACGCTCTTAGACCCCATGAGCAGACAATGAGTGCTCAGTAACTGATGGCCACTATTAGCTGTTAGAGATCAGCCGTTAACAAGCTTGGAAGAACAGTCGCCTAGAGGGGAAACTACCTCTCTTTCTCTCACTCTAGCTAAGAACAAATATTGTGGTTCTCTGGGGCTCTATCCTGGGTCCACTACTCATTGCATTGCACTATTCTCCAGGGATGGACTTAGGCTCATCTGATTTTAGTTTCATCTATGCCAGTAACTCCTAAACAGAGTTCCAGTCCTGCTCTCTAGGCCTATTTCTCTTGGGTTCCCACAAGCACCTCAGATTCAACATATCCCAAGTGTCACTTCCCCCACCCGGTCGCCAAACCTGTTTCCCTGGTATTCTGTTTGCTGATGGGATTCCATCATAATGGCATCACCCAAGGGATTGACTTTCTCTCTCTCCAACTTGCCCCACAATTAATTAATAACCAAGTTCCTGACTCTCTGTCTCTACCACCAGCGATCCAGGTCAGGTCCTGTTCACATCTCATCTGATCTCCCTGCCTCCAGATTCGTCCTCCCAAATCCAATACGTCCTACCCCATTCCTGGCTGAAACGTCCAGTGACCTCTTCCTACTTAAATGTCCAAGCCTCTGGCCATAATTTCCAGTACCTTCCCTCATCGGGCCCCAGCCCGTCCCACTGAATTATTTCTCAGCACTCTCTGACTTGCAATTTATTCTCTGGCAACACTGAACTGCTGACTATTGCCTTGCCCACAGCATGTTGGTTTTCAGTCTTGGGTCTGGGCTAATACTGTTCCCTCTGCTGGTAATGCCTTTCCCTTCTTTATCTGGCTAATTCAAACCAGATGACACCTCCTCCAGGAAGCTCGCCCTGATTATCCTCTCTTAAACTGGCTTACATATCCTTCCCCTACGAGACTGTCTTTGTCTTTATATAGCAAACTATTGCATTTGCTACATAATATTACAATTATGTGCCTCACCCCCTAGACTGTGAGCTCCTTGCAGTCAGGAAATGTTGTGTCTTATTCATCTTTGTATCCTAAGTGCTTGATATAGTGCCTGGTATTTTGCTGGCATTTAATCAATGAATACTGAGTAAATGAATACTTACCGACACCCCCTCCTGACAGTGTGCCATCTGGAGAAAGTAGATTAGTGTAAACTAGTATATGATTCCCTCAGGTGGGAGGAGGCACTTCAGAACAGGACCAGACAGTGTTTATTTCATTTTAGACCTGCGGAAGGTGATACCGCCCAGGAGATGAGGGAGGGGAGAGATCAGCAGTGGCTTGGGGGAGGCTCAGGTCAGAAGCGAGAAGCCCAAAAGGGTAAGTCACAAAGAACTGACAGCTACTACACCATGTCACTTAATACTATGGGTTGACGCACCATGAGATCAGAGAAGAAGAGAAATGGTGATTCATTTATTCAAGAAATATTTGCTGACTGTCTACTAATGAAGGAGGCACAGGGCGAAGTGCTGGGGGACACTCTGCTCTCACTGAGCTTACAGGCGGTGGGGAGACAAAACACAAAAGTAAACAGAGAAGTGTAGCTTTACACAGTAATAAGAGCCACGGAGGGACTAAACAGGATGCTGGGAGAGAAAATAGCACGGGGGCCAGGCAAGATCTCTTTTAGGAAGTGGTTTTAAGCTGAAGTCAGTAAGGACAGAAAGAGGAGGAAGGAGAGGCAGGCCAAGATGCAGGCCTGGGAGACGGCCAATTGGAGAAACTCAGAGAGGCCAGTGCAGCCTCAGAAAGGTAGACAGAGAGCAAGGCCTGTTGGCATCACTGGGGAGATGTGTGGGCAGCCCAGGTAGACCAGATGACAGCCCTGGGGAGCTGTGCAGGCAGCAGGGATAGGAGGACCAGGTCAGTGGGGATAGGAGGTTTGGATTTTGTTCTATATCCAGGAATACCCAGGCTGCCCAGCGGACAAAATTGGAAAGGAGTGCGGGCAAAAGGAAGAGTAGTCAGGAGTAGTCAGAATGAGTATTAAGCTATTCAACTATTTCTCTGTAGGGAAGATAATTATTTATCCAATTTTATTGCTAAGGAAACTGAGTTTCAGAGTTGGGATACGGACCCCAGTCAGCTCTGTCGCTGAGATAGAATTGAAACTACTGCTGCCTCTTCTATAATTTTATGCTCAGTTGCACGTAACTTCCAGATTGGCAAAGATTGAGAAGCGTGATAAGATATATTTTTTAGCAAGGAAGCAGGGGAGTAGGGAATTGTAATCTGCTGCAGACGGGAATGTAAATTGGTACTGTCTTTCCAGGGGGAAACCCAATGTCTTAAAGATATGTGTCCTCCTAGAGTTCCCAATTCTAGTTTAAGGAATCCTAAAAAAAACCAAAAACAAACAACAACAACAACAACAAAACTACTGAGCAAAGATGTTTGAAAGAGTCTTGTTTACCAGTATTTGTAAGATGGAAATAGGACACAATGGAAAAACTGGGTTAAAAAAAGATGCAACAGGGTGGTGCCTGTGGCTCAAAGGAGTAGAGTGCTGGCCCCGTATGCCGGAGGTGGCAGGTTCAAACCCAGCCCCAACCAAAAACTGCAAAAAAAAAAAAAAAAAAAAAAAAAGATGCAGCATGCAATCCCATTTTGTAAAATATATGTTTAGGTGTATAGAAAAAATTCTGGCAGGCTCTTCACCAAAATCTTTTTTTTTTACTATTCTTTATTTTTTGTTGTTGCAATTTGCTAGGGCTGGGATTGAACTCACCACCCTTGGTATATGGGGCTGACACCCTACTCACTGAGCCACAGGCACCACCCTCTTCACCAAAATCTTAAAAGAGGGTTTATCTCTAGATGACGAGTTACAAAGCTTTTTGGTTGTTGCTGTTGTTTTTTTATCCACAATGTCAAATGTTTCTTTTTTTTTTTTTTTGAGATGGAGCCTCAAGCTATCCCCCTGGGTAGAGTGCCATGGCATCACGCTCACAGCAACCTCCAACTCCTGGGCTCAAGCGAGTCTCCTGCCTCAGCCTCCCAAGTAGCTGGGACTACAGGCGCCCGCCACAACGCCTGGCCATTTTTTGGTTGCAGCCATCATTGTTGTTTGGCGGGCCCGGGCTGGGGATTCGAACCTGCCACCTTGGGTGTATGTGGCTGGCGCCTTAGCCGCTTGAGCCACAGGCGCCAAGCCAATGTCAAATGTTTCTAAACAAGTCTTCGCTTTTTATTGAAGTATAACGTACATACATGGCAAAGAGGCAGATCCTATGTTCACAACTTGAGAAATGATCACAGACTGACTGTTCTCATAAATAACACAGTTGAAAGAGACATAGACCGTGACCAGTGCCCTGGACGCCTCCTTAGTGGAATCACACAGAATCTACTTTTTTATGTCTGGCTTCTTTCTCTCACCGTCATGTTTATATATGAATCTTCCATGCGGCTGCATTTAGTTGTAGGAAATTAATCAGTTGCTTAATATTCACACTTCATGTCTTATGAATATGACACTGTGAATGTGCGATCATCATTAGCACTCTTTTCACCTCATAAAGTACTTCTCATGTACGCTAGCTCTAACCATTATTATTGTCCTCATTTGATGGGCAAAGGGCCTGGTGCTCAGAAGAGAATTTACCCTGCACAGAGCTGGTAGGTGGCCAGGCCAGGACTGGCTCTTATCTAAATCCATGCCCTTTGTGCCCCGTGCAATTGGATTAAAAGCAAAGGTAGCAGTGGATTAGAAGAAAGGAATAATTTGCTTCCTCTTAGGTGCTTTAGACACCGAGACAAATTACCAGGTTCAGTTGTTTAAATTCCTTCTTTAAAAATCATTCAGAACAAAACACAGAAACCCTTTTCGTTAGGAAGGCAAATTTCCCATAAATATTCAACCAGTTTCAAGGTTAGTCATTAATCTTGCAGAAGAGGGAATTTTTTCTGCTAATAACCCAGGATACCAACATTTCTCGTTTAATACCATTAATTACAAGCCCCTCTTGATTACATTGTGTATGTTATATATATATTATTATCATGTGGGTTTATATTAGCATATACCCACTTTTCTCTCCAGCTTGATGAATATCACTGATTACAGGTTCATATAAAGAGTCACTTCTCATTCCCAGATGAGGGGATTAAGGCCCACTGTCAACCAGATGTGGCAGCTGACCTGGCGCAGGTCCTCCAGCTCCTAGTCCACAGTTCTTTGGACCAAACATCACTGCATGAAGTGATTTTTTTTCTACTTGAAAACATAAACAAGGATGGTCCCAACTGTTATTAAAACTGAAAAAGGTTTTTGTTTTGTTTCAAGAAAGCAGAACTGCATGACTTAGTTTATGCTATTATAAAATCAAGATATTGCACTATAAACTTTATGTTATTATAAAATCATGATAATACACTATAAGATTCTTCTTTAAAGCGTTATGATGGGCTTGGTGCAGGTACCTCAGTGGTTAGGGTGCCGGCCACCTATACTGGGGCTGGCAGATTTGAACCCAGCCTGGACCTGCCAAACAACAATGACAACTATAATCAAAAAATAGCCGGGCATTGTGGCCGGTACCTGTAGTCCCAGCTACCAGAGAGGCTGAGGCAAGAGAATTGCTTAAGCCCAAGAGTTTGAAGTTGCTATGAGATGTGATGCCACAGCACTTTACTGAGGGTAATATAGAGACTCTGTCTCAAAAAGGGAAAAAAAATGTCATTTTATAATCCAGCATACTTCATAGAAATTTCAAAAGAAATTAAGTGAATTAGTAGAGAAAACAAGAATTTATCACTGCCAATATTTCCCCAAGCACTAATACAAGTATCTTTGCCTTACAGGTTAGAGTTGGAAGATTTCAAAAGTTGGAGTGAGGTAACAGAAGACCTGTGTCTGCACTCTTCCTCTGCTTCCCCATTCCAGTGTTTTCTTCTGTGGATGTTGTCTGCGGGGGGGCTAATTTTATTTATTTTATTATTATTATTATTATTTTTGGGAGACAGAGCCTCAAGCTGTCACCCTGGGTAGAGTGCGGTGGCATCACAGTTCACAGCAACCTCCAACTCCTGGGCTTAAGCGATTCTCCTGCCTCAGCCTCCTGAGTAGCTGGGACTACAGGTGCCCGCCACAACGCCTGGCTATTTTTTGGTTGTCATTGTTGTTTGGCCGGCCTGGGCTGGATTCGAACCCGCCAGCTCAGGTGCATGTGGCTGGTGCCTTAGCCACTTGAGCCACAGGCACCAAGCCTGGGGGGCTAATTTTAGAAAAACTGAAAGTAGCTCCTGCTGGGAATCTTTCTACCTCTGGATCTCTTATTAGTATCCATGGTACTGGGACCATTTCCCTGGGGTAGCTGAACTTGACTTTTTCCCTCATTACTTGTCAGGAATCCCCAAACTGGAGGGTCTGTTTTTCCCTACTAAAAAACAGTGTCTGCAGGTCAAAGGTCGAAAGATAGGCCTATTTATTTTGGCCCAGGCCCAGAGACTCTGGCCAGGCCCTACCCTGTCCCCTCACTTTGCCTTCAGGACACGGACAGCCACACATGGCCTTCACCAGGTCCAAGGGCTCCCCACTTCACTCCCGATGGACTCTTGCCTCCTTTTTGAGCTCCTCTGTGAACCTTTATCCTCACAGTTACCTTTATAAACAGTCAGGGAAACAAATATTTAAATACACAGATGAATAAGATCTCAGAGCTGTCACCATTCTAATGACCTTTAGAGACTGGGAAGTACCCAGAGCCCCAGAGCTGTGGACCATCCCTTGTCCCAGGGCTGGTCTATCTAGGGTGGGGTTGTGGCCTGGGTACACAGCTCCAGTGCTGAGTAAATAGAGAGCTTTCCCGGCTTTCAGGGGGAGCTCCACCTCGTAGAACACCATAGGGCAGAATATTATCTCTCCTACAGAAAATGGCTGTGCCGGGGTCTCTTGTCTGCTGACCTAGACTGTACGAAAGCTGATAACTCCCAGAGCTCTCCTTTGTCCTCAAGCCCAGGGAAATGCTGGCCAGCTCTTTTCACGTGGGTGGGCGGTGCATAGTTCAGGGAGGGCGTGGCCTCCTCTGGGGGCTAATAGTGGCCCTAACCTGTGGGCTGGGTGGCTGATGATTGTGAAATAGGGATCTTTAGCAACACTCACACACCTGACCGTAAAGGCCCTGAGATTGTTGAAAACTCAGAATAAAGATTACCTCGGGAGGGGCCTCCATGAGGTTTCATATTCACAGTATTGTTGGTGGTTTGTTTGTATGTTTGTTTTTAAGAGATGGGAGTCTCACTATGTCTCCCAGGCTAGAGAGAGCAGGGGCCATTCAACAGGATCACGGCACACTACAGCCTCAACTCCTGGGCTCAAACATTCCTCCTGAGCGGTTGGAACTACTACATTCCTCCTGTGCCACTGTGCCCAGATTTTTTAATGAATGTCTTATTTTGGAAGAATTTGGGGTTTATGGAAAAATTGCAAATGCAGTCTAGAGAGTCCCCCACACCCTTCGTCCGCTTTTCCCTAGTGTTGACATATGATGTAGCCATAACACGTCCATCAAACCCAGGAAATTAATGTTGCTAGAACTAAACATTAGATTTTATTTGGATTTCGCCAGTTTTTCCACAAAAACCCTTTTCTCTGTTTCAGGGTCCAATCCTGGATCCCATATTGCATTTAGAATGGCCATATTGGTGTTTTTATTTTTGTTTTTGTTTGTTTTGAGACAGAGTTTTACTTTGTTACTCTCGGTAGAGTGCTGTGGAGTCACAGTTCACAGCAACCTCAAACTCCTGGGCTCAAGGGATCCTCTCGTCTCAGCCTCCCCAGTAGCTAGGACTATAGGTGCTCCCCACAATGCCTGGCTAGTTTTTCTCTTTTTAGTAGAGACGGGGTCTTGCTTTTGCTCAGGCTGGTCTCGAACTCCTGAGCTCAAGCAGTCCACCCGCCTTGGCCTCCCAGAGTGCTAGGATTACAGATGTGAGCCACTGTGCCCAGCCTGGCCATGTTGCTTTATGCCTTTGAAAAATCTGTAGAAATGATGGCAATGATTACAATTGGATGAAACTTTCTGGCAAGAACGGGAAGTTTATTTTTTTACTTTCTGTTCCTTATAGGGGAGAACTTTCACTATAGTGATTATGAGAGAGGCTCTGAGGTAAGTTAAGCAATCTGGATTTAAATTCTGGCTCAAGTACTCTCTAGCTGTGTGCTTAGTATCTGGAGACTAACTTTGGTCTCAAAAATAGGAATAACAATGGTATCTACCTCTTGGGTTTGGTCTGAGGCTTACCTAGATGAAGTCATGGAAAGCAACTGGAACAGTGCTCAATAAATGTTAGCTATTATTAATTGCATGTGTAATATTTCACAGTAACAAAGTTAGAAAAAATGGCTCGTTGGAGCTTGTCAGATCCCATCTTAATAAGAAATCCCAGTTTTCTTTGTATGTTTGTATAAAACTTGCCGTGTTCATTCATTGTCTTTGTTTCTGTCTCCAGCAATGGACTTTACGTTGCCCAGCAGGATGAAAGTGTAATCAGTGTAGAGGAAGAAGCAGAAACGAGCTGAGAGAGGAGGCAGCTACCCCAGAAGCTCCTGGAGAGAGGTGGTGCCAAGCCTTGGAGCATTTGTTGAGATTGCTGGAGGTGCATTTTTCAGGGCAAAGATTTAGCAGGTATGAGAAGCCAGAATAACAGCACTGAGGTCTCCAAGCATGGAGTGGAGGGGGCAGGGATGCATTGGGCAAGATGCAAAGAGAGCTCTCTCTGTCTAGTTCTTTCCAAGAGCGTGTGCAGAAGGGGGCCTGGAAGAACTTTACATCCCCAGGGCTGACCCCAACATTCTACCGCACGTGCTGGCCAGACTCAACGGGGTTAATGGCTGCAATCAGCTTTCCTCTTTGCAGACTGAGTAACAAGCAATGGCTCCCTCACCCCCCTTTTAAAAATATTTAACCACTGTTAAGTGTACAGTTTAATGGCATTAAGTCCATTCACGATGTTGGGCAACCATCACCACCATCCAGCTCCAGAACTTTTTCATCTTCCCAAACTGAAATCCCACACCCGTTAAACACCAGCTCCCATCTCCTCTGCCCCCGTCCCCTGGAAACCACCAGTCTACTTTCCGTCTCTATGAATTTGACTCCTCTGGAGTGTCATGTAAGTAGAAGTGGAATCAGGCAGCATCTGCCCTCTGTGACTGGCTTGTTTTACGTAGCATGTCTTTGAGATTCCTCCCTGTTGTAGCCCATGTCAGAGTTTCCTTCCTTTTTTGAGGTTAAATATTATTCCATTGCATAGACATTCTGCGTATCTATTCATCTGTCCAGGGACACTTGAGTTGCTTCTACCTTTCGACTATTGTGATTAAGGCTGCTCTGAACATCAGTGTCTAAGTATCTGAGATCCTGGTTTCAGTTCTTTGGGGTATATACCCAGAACTGGGATTGCTGGATCATAGTGTAATTCTATGTTTAACTTTTTAATGAACAACAAAACAGGTCCCCCTTTTTTATAGCAAGAAAGGATTCTGGGGTGTTGGAGGTGAGCGGGAGGAGGAATGGTAGTTCCAAGAACCAAGATCACCTAGACATTCACGAGACCTTCAAGGTTGGTAGGTGGGTGGGATTGGAAAGTCAATCTGGCACCACCTCTGACATTTACCACCCTCACTCTTCCAGCACTGCGACACGTCTAAGAAGGTCTCCGTGTTGGATTTACTGCTGTGGCTAGACAGGTAACTTGAATTCCTCTGCTTGTGATTGCCCTCGGAAGACAGCGTGCTTGTCTCCCTCATCTTTTTGCCTTCTAGAGAAAGCTCTGCTTTTAAAAATTATTAATTAATTATTAATTAATCAATTATAATGAATGAATGAATGAATTTTTGAGACAGAGTCTCACTTTGTCACCCTGGGTAGAGTGCAGTGATGTCATAGCTCACAGCAACTTCAAGCAATCCTCTTGCCTCAGGCTCCCAAGTAGCTGGGACTACAGGCACCTGCCACAATGCCCAGCTATTTTTAGAGATGAGGTCTCACTCTGGCTCAGGCTGGTCTTGAACCTGTGAGCTCAGGCAATCCACCTGCCTCAGCCTCCCAGAGTGCTGGGATTACAGGTATGAGCCACCATGCCGGGCCCTCTCCTGCTTTTTTTTGTTTGTTTTAAAGTGTTCCTCCTATGACACAGTTTTTAGACCCTTATCCTGTGTGCTCTCTGAGTTTATTTCTGTGCCATACTTAAACGTGGTCTAGAGAGAGGCCCCCACCTCCTTTATCTAACTGAAGATGCCAAATGACCACAGAGCAGGGAACAGACTGACGTGAGTCAGGCCTCTCTGAGATAAGCCTGGGGTTGAAAAGAAAGTGTGTATCTTGTGCAAAAAATACTTAGGTGAAAACAACAGCCCCAACCTCAACAAAGGATTTACCCCCAGGACAAACCAACCAATCCATTGTCTCTTTTACTTTTTGATGGGTAGGAAAAGAGTGAATGAAGGGGCTGCAAGAGTCACCACGAGGCTCCATGTGGAGCTTGCTTTTGGCTGAAACTCTGCACAGTTCTCACAGTGCTGCAAAATCTCTCTCTCCTTTCTTGACTCAAAGTATTGGCTTTCTGGACTCAACCACAGGGCCTGACATTGATCTCGACCAGCAATGTCATCTTGTTAGAATCATCCCCTCTCTTTAACCCTTCAAGATAATTCTGGATCCTTACTCTGTCGTCTTATTCTGCCTGTCCCCCAGCTTCACATCTCAGCTTGTCCATGTCCCTTAGAAATGATTGAGGGATTTTGGGAGGTTGAGTTTTTCGGTCCTCTCCCTACATGAGTGTAGTGTGGTACAGACACACCTTTCATATTCAACTGGTTCTCAACTCTGCCAAACAGCGTAGATATAAGTGAGGAATTAGGAAGGATAACAGCTTGAGTTTTACCCATACTTCACCTCTCCCTGTAACTTTTTATGTATTTTTAATATGCCATTATCTCTTTAATAAAATAAGCTGAAAATCTATAAATAATCTATGAGTTATGTTTTCCTATTGATATTTTTAAAAGAATACAGTAACTCTTCAAGAGACAAATGTTTTATTTCTCCTTGAAGCTAATATTCAGGCTCAGCGCCTATGGCTCAAGTGGCTAAGGTGCCAGCCACATACACCCAAGGTGGTGGGTTCGAATCCAGCCTGGGGCCGCCAAACAACAAATGGGCTGCAACCAAAAATTAGCAGGCGATGTGGCGGGCGCCTGTGGTCCCAGCTACTTGGGAGGCTGAGGCAGGAGACTCGCTTGAGCCCAGTAGTTGGAGGTTACTGTGAGCTGTGATGCCACGGCACTCTACCCAGGGGGACAGCTTGAGGCTCCTGTCTCAAAAAAAAAAAAAAAGAAGTTAATATTCAAGGAGAAATAAAAGCAATATTTAGATAAGTTAATAACTTTCTTTATCAGATAAAAGATAACAACATTTTCTTGAGCAGGAAGTCCAACCTCTACTATGCATCTTACTGTGCCTTTTGCCTCAGTTATCAGTAGGTAATTTTAGACCAAATTCAGAGCCCAACTACTGTAATCAGTTCATCTCAGGCTACGGGTTTTATTTATCCCATTTCAGAACGCATACTGTATTTTTAATCTGAAATCACCCTATTTTTACAATCTGCATCAGCTTTTTCAAGCCAATTGGTATCACTCTGTGCATCAGAAGACTGGTTAACTTCATGGTAGCAACCCATCAAAGTATCCTGTCTTCCAAATGGGTCATTTGCATGCCGTTCATCAACAAGGGCCAAGATCTATTTCCCTCTAAAAAGCTTTCAGGAGGAAAATATTAATTCAGTACATCACTAGTGATAGGTGAGCTTACACTGGTGGGAATAAATGAGGCAGGAAGTGGCATTACAGATGCAAGTAACACTTACAGAGGTGAAGTCTTTACAGCTATCAAAACACTCCAGGGGCTTTTTTGTGTGTCACAGTGTGAAACACAGCTAACGCACATTTCAAAGGGACCAAGGCTTTTCTTCCCCCTCTTAAAGGTATGCGTTGACACCGACTTTATCATCTGCGGCAGTCAGCCAGTTTTTATGTTGCTAGATAAAAGCACTTTCTCTGAGTTCCTTTGACCCCTACATTTCTGCTAGGTATGAGTCACTGAGTTAAACGAGAGCTGATATCAGGGTGGTCAATACAGTCACGGAGTGCAGCTAGGGACGTGGGTCACAGAGGTGGCCCAAACGGTGACAGACCGGGATTGCAATGGCTATTTATTTATGATTATTTTTTCATTAAAATAAAGGCAATAGCTATTTATTTATTTTTTACTTATTTCAGACTAATGCGAGGTACAATCAGGTTGCAGTGTTTGCATTTGTTAGGGTCCCTGTAGCAGTGTCCTGCACTCAGAAGTCGTGCCATATACCCTTACATTGTGCCCATTAAGTGGGAGCCCACCCATCCCCCTGCCTTCCCCCCTCCCCCCTCCCTCCTTCGTTCTTCCTCCTCCTCCTATTTTGAATTGAACTGAGTTTTTCTCTTCTGTGGGCGTGTATTAGTTCGTCTACTGGCTTCATATTAGTATCGAGTACATTGGATACTTGCTTTTCCATTCTTGCGATACTTTACTAAGAAGAATGTGTTTCAACTTCAACCAGGTTAATACAAAAGATGGAAGTCTCCATCTTTTTAGTGGCTGAATAGTATTCCATGGTGTACATATGGCACAGTCTATTAATCCATTCCTGAGTTTGATGGGCATTTAGGTTGTTTCCGCATCTTGCAATTATAAATTGAGCTGCAATAAACAATATAGTTCAAATGTTCTTATGTTAAAGTGATCTTTTTTCCTCTGGGTAGATGCCAAGTAATGGGATGGTGGGATCAAATAGAAGGTCTATTTTGAGTTCTTTAAAGATTCTCCGTGCTTCTTTCCAAAGAGGCTGGATTAGTTTGCAGTCCCACCAACAGCAATAGCTCTTTATTGAAAAAAAATGTATTCAGAGCCTAATACCTACATGCAATGTAATACACTAGAATACATTTATAAATATTTGCTGAGAAACTAATTAGAAAGGCTGTGCTGGAAGCTTTATGTTCAGCCAGGTGTAGTAATTGAGAACTGTAATTAATGTGGTAATATTCATAATAAGCATCCGCTTTTAATAGTCATCGTTCTAGGCTTGGCACCCATAGCACAGTGGTTATGGTGCGGCCGCATGCACTGAGACTGCCAGGTTTGAACCCAGCCTGGGCCAGCTAAACAAAAATAACAAAAAAATAAAAATAGCCGGGCACTGTGGTGGGTGCCTGTAGTCCCAGCTACATGGGAGGCTGAGGCAAGAGAATCGCTTGAGCCCTAGAGTCTGAGGTTGCTGTGAGTTGTGATGCCACGGGACTCTACCAATGGTGACAAAGTGAGACTGTCTCCCCTCCCTCCCAAATAGTCATTGTTCTAGACTCCAGAGATGTTATCATGGGAACCTTTTTAGCTATAATCTGTGTCCAGAATATATTATGATTAGCATCAATTTTAAAGGTTAGTAATAACTCTGATAGTTTTGAACAAAATCATACAGTCATTCAACAAGTGTTTAGTGTATACCTACTACGTGGTCTGTATATATAGAGATACACATATATATGAACACATGTATGTACATAACACACACACCAGGAATGGTCTAGTTAAGTAGTTGGAAACATGAAATCAAAACTTAAACAGGCCTGGGTTCAAGCACTGGAGCCACCATTTAAAAGCAGTGAGACAGTAGGCAAGCCTTAAATTCCTCGCCAGAAAAATAGGACTAAAATTACCTATAATAGACAGGATTATGCTACTTAAGAAGCTGAGGGAAGAGATCTCTTGAGTCCAACAGTTTGAGGTTGCTGTAAGCTATGATGACAGAGCCATCACTCTGCCCTGGGTAACAGAGTTAGACTCTGTTTCAAATATATATATATGTTACATATATATATATTTAAAGGTAATGATGGCAGAGGAAAAAAGGAAAGAGGCAGATTTGAGGACAAAGGAAGATAAAAAAACCCTGATACTCTGAATTTGGTGAAAGTTTGCCACCAGATGGCTAGGGGCAGTGGCTAGACTCAGGCCTCACATTCTGTGCTGTGCAAGGACAGCAGACTTCAGCAAACAAGAGTAATGATAATCTTCCCAGGTACAAACTTAGACCCGCTTCCTCTGCAAAAGCTTCAGGGAGCTATGACTCATAGGAGCCACCCCGAAATCACTCACTGGAAATCCTTGCTGCAAGTACAAGAACTGGGCTGGATTTGCCAAATTCCCCATGTGATACAAGCAAGGCCATCTGCCAAAGAGCCAGAGGCAGAGAGGGCCACTTGCCTTCCTGGTGACACAGAGATTTCCTAGCCCTGTTACTGAATGTAAAGGCAGCATAAGGGCTTGATAAGAAACCACTCCCAGGGACAATTTGGCTTTGGGAAGAGCAGTTGCTGAGCCAGGGTATTTGGTGCACTGGCCTTCAGGCAGCTTATCCATTCTCACTCGGGGACGTTGTATTCTCCAGTACATGATGCTACTGCCTTCACCACCTGCTCCTGTCTTCCTCGGGTGACATCAGGGAGTACAGCAGTATATTTGTCCTTGCTGTCTCATGGAGTTTCAGGCTGTCTGACTCAACTGTGCATGTTCCCATACTGCCAGGAGAACGATCCTATTCTAAGTCAGCTGAATTTCAGCCAGGCTTTAACTGCAACAGAAGACCCCGCTTACCTAACAGCACAGAGAAGAC